GTGGTGGTCATGGTGTCTCTTCACAGCAATAGAAACCCTAAGACAGAGTAAATACTTTCCCAATTTCCTTCAGTACTTCAAAAGTTCATTCTTCATGCCTTCAGGCAGTTCTTTCTTTTGTGGAGACGGTGTCTTTCTATAATCTTGATTTTCTTGGTATTTGTTCTTTAGACCAAACTGGCCTTGATCTCTCTGAGATCATTCTGCCTCTACTTTAAGCATCCAGGGATTAAAGGCATGTTCTACTATGCCCTGAGATCTTAGTCAATCAATGTTATGTATATGAATATATTGCCTGCATGTATGTCTATGCAGTGTGTGCATGCAGTGCCTACAGAATCCAGAAGGCATCAGGATCCCTGAGTACTATAGTTACACACAATTGTGAGCTGCCAGTTAGATGTCAATCAAACCAGGTCCTATGGAAAAGTTACCAGTGCTCTTATTCACTGGGCCATTTCTCCAGCCCTAAATATGGAGATTTCTAAACTGTATGAGCATGTACATGTTGTCATTCAGTCTAACTCTTTACAATTTCTCAACTCTTCACTATTTATATGGTTTCAATCTAGTATAAAGATTTTTGAGGGTGGATAAAAGTTGAAAAGTTGTAGCATTTTCTGGTGTGTTTTCTTTCATTACAAAATTTCTTTCATGTTTAGTATTTCAGCACTAGGCAAATGATTTGTCAAACTGAATGTATTTGGGGGTAGAACTTCCAATGAACAAGACATAGGGATTATCTATGGTATACTTTTATAAGGTTTTTCAGAAGTACAAATTTACTGATGTACAGCAAAATTAGAGGAAAAACTAAATGTTTTTTCTCAGTTTTTAATACTACATTTTGTCATTATTATTATTTATACTGTTTGGTTTTAGAAACAGGTTATATAGCCATGTTAGTCCTGATCTACTCTGAAGATCAAGCTGGCCTTGAACTCACACAAATCCTCCTGCCTCTGTGTTTGGAATGAGGGGATTAAAGGTGAGCACCATCATGCTTGGAATTAGTATGCATTTTTGGATGTTGAGCAAGATAAATGTTCTAATTATAGCTTTTCTCAAGGGTTGGAAAAAATGGATTAGTTGTTGTTATACTGGCTTCTCTTCCAGATAATCAGGGTTCAATTCCCAGCACATGTATAGCAGCTCACAACTGCCTATAACTGCAGCTTTGTGGATCTGATACCTTCTTTTCATCCTCCAAAGGCAGGAATCATACATGGAGTGCAGAGACATGCATGCAGTCAAAATTTCTCCAAGCATTTTCTTAAAAGAGCTTTTCACACAGTTAAATTTGCAAAATTTTGTTTCAGCATAAACTCTGTGATACTTTTCTAGTATTTAAACCTCATTATAGGCTTTCACAAGTTTGTTACCTTTATGTTTCTATTATGTACACTGTTGTGATTTTTAAGCAGAGAATTTCAAATAACTGTGAAGTCATATTTACAACAGAATTTTTTATTCCTGTATGAATTTTCTGATGTGCTCTAAGAGTTGATGACTTAGTAAAAGATTCACCACATTCCTTACATATGCAAGGTGTCTCTCCAGTATGAACTCTGTAATGTGTTCTAAGATTTGAACACTAGATGAAGGATTTATTCCAGTCTTTGCATTTGTAAAAATTCTTTCCAGTATGAATTTTCTGATGTACTGTAGACAGAATTCTAAACAGTCTTAGTCAATAAGAAACACAGAGCCAAATACAGAGATAAAAAGCCAAAGAGATCAGAGAGTCAAGACTACCGTATCACCACTGTCACTTCCCCAGAGAGAGAGCTTCTAAAGTCTTGTCTTCTTATTGCCTTTCTGTTCTGCCTTCTCATTGGTTCTAAACCCAACCACACTACTTCCTTGTCACTGCCTGTCTATACATGAAAGGACCAAGCAGATCCTATAACTGTCTGCTCAGTCTTCTCTCAGAGATCAGGCCCTAATTTCAGTTTCCTGAGACTGAGCAACTAGTCTCTGGGAGGGCCGTGAATAAAAGACAGTCTTTGCAGTAGCTCCCTTTCTGCATATACTCTGACTGCTCAAAGTTCAGCCAGATGTTTACTATCTAGGACCTCTCACCAACTTAGAGCTATGTGCATGAGTCAAGGACCACTGAGCCAGCCTCCACAGTCAGTGCGTGCTAAGCCAGTCAGCCCCCATGGCAGCTCAAGGACAAAGCCTGGGACTTGTGCCAGACTACCCCCCCCAAATGATAATTATAACCCCCAACCAGTAAATTAAAAGATTATATACCCTCACCCAATGAAAAGAAAACAGAGATAAAAATAAACCAATCTGAGTTGCACCCATGCCAACCCCCCCCCCCAACCACCCTGAAGGGCTTGTGGTTTTTGCCTTTAAAAAGCTAGCCTCACAAAGAAAGAACAACTCCTCCCTGCCTCACTGCATTGGGTGTAGGAATGAGTTCCTTGTCTAGACTTGTGTCTGTAGAATAAACCTTGCTGTTGCATTCTGGACACCTCGGTCTTCAGTGGTCCCTTTGGGGTCATGATCTGGGTATAATATACAGACCTCCAGGTCTCTATGGTTGGTACTGGGATTAAAGGTTCATGTCATCACACTTGGCTGTGTCCTTGCCCACACAGAGACTCTGCCTTCCATGTGATTGGATTAAGGGCATGGTCTACCACCACCTGACTGCTGACCCTGGCTGGCTATGACCTCTGATCTCCAGGCAAACTTTGTTTATTAACATACAAATAAAATCACATTTCACCACAAATATAATATCACCACAATGTACTCTAAGATATGAACTTCTAGTAAAAGGTTTGCCAAATTCCTTATACAAATAAAGTATCTCTTAGATGAACTGTTTGATGTTATCTCAGATTTGAATACTATTAAAGATTATGTCATAGGCTTTGTATTTGTAAATCTTCTTTCCAGTATGAATTTTCTGATGTTCTCTAAGACAAGAACACACACACACACAAATTGTCACATTCTTAACCTGTAAGGTTTCTTTCCCAAATGCATTTTCTGGTGTGTTCTTAGAGATGAGGTCATAGTAAAGGACTTGTCACATACTTCACATTTGTAAGGCTTTTCAACAACATGGATTCTGTAAGAGCAATAATACAAAAATAAAAAAAAATACATACCACATTCTTTGTTTTTCTACAATTTCTCTCAAAAATTAACTTTCTTTTTTCTTCTTTTTTGTTTTCTTTGAGACAAGGTTTCTCTGTGAAACAGTCCTGCTGTCCTGGAACTCACTCTATAGACGAGACTGGCCTCTAACTCAGAGATCTACCTGCCTTTCTCCAGGAAGTGCTGAGATTAAAGGTGTGGTCCATCACTGCATGGTGAGAATGAATTTTCAGATGCCTTCCAAATGATAAATAGTGGATACAGGATCTGTCATACTCATGGAATTTGTAAAGCTACTCTCCAGCATGCCTTTCATTTGTATGCATATTCTGATGGCTGTGGTAGTGCTGCCACCTGTTTACCATGTCTGAGCAAGGGAATGAGGTTTAAAAACAGAGACAAGACAATGGGTCATTTGTCTCAGCAGAATGCCAAATGCCTAATGCTGTTTATTGAAGGAGGGAGGAGGCCTTAAATATAGGCTTACAGCACAGGGGCAGAACCCTGGAGGGAAGAAGTTCGCTACAGATGTTTTACATTCTTGCATCCTAGCTGCTTACACCAAATGCAGGATACACAAACAAGCTACTATGGTGATATTTTATTTGTATTAAAATGTTATTTGTATGTTAATAAATAAAGTTGCCCGGGGGTCAGAGCTATTAGCAACCCACAGGAAAGCAGGGCAGTGGTGGCGTATGCTTGTAATCCCAGCACTTGGTAGGCAGAAGTAGGTAAGTCTGTGTGTGTTCAGGGATACAGCCAGTATTGGATACACATGCCTTTAATCTCAATACCAATCATAGTAAACCTGGAGGTCTATACAGACAGGTCATGACGAGGCAGTCATGTGGTTGGGTTAACAACCAATGAGAAGGCAGAACAGAAACACTATAAAAAGACAGACACACAGAAAGTAGCTCTGGTTCAGAGAGGTAGGACCACCACAGGAGGAAGGGTAAGGCTTTAGATCTTAGCTCTGACCTCTTGGCTTTCTTCTTTGCATTGGTTCTGTGTTTCTTATTTAATTAGATGGTTGGTTACATCTACAAGGAACCTCCAGTAAGCTTTTTTAGGAGGAAGGAAACAGGCAGTGAATCTACATAGGAAGGACATCTATCTGATCAAAGTCAGCAAGCAAGGCAACAGCTACCAAAGGAACCAGGGTCAGGGCCCAACAGCTATGAAGTATTGATAATAAGGAAATGACATTCAGCATTCTTTGCATTTGAAAGGTTTCTTCCCAGTATGAAGTCTTTGATGTGTTTTAAGACTTGAGCACCTAGTAAAGGATTTGTCACAAACATTGCTTTTGTAGAATTTCTCTCTAGGATGAATTATCTTATGATTTATAAGAGTTGACTTTAGAGAAAAGCATTTGTCACAAACATTGCACTTGTAGGGTTTCTCTCCAGTATTAATTCTCTGATGCTTATGAAATGTTGATAAACGAGGAAATGATATTCTACATTCTTTGCATATGTAAGGTTTTTCTCCAGTATGAAGTCTTTTTTGTGTTTTAAAAATTGAGCACTAATTAAAGGAATTATCACAAAGGTTACACATGTAGGGATTCTCTCCAGTATACATTCTCTGATGCCTATAAAATGTTGATAAGTGAGGAAATGACATTCCTCATTCTGTGCATTTGTAAGGTTTCTCCCCAGTATGAAGTCTTTGATGTTTTTAATTTGATTACCTTTTTTTTTTTTTTTTTTTTTTTTTTTTTTTTATTTTTTTTTTTTTTTTTTTTTTTTTTTTTTTTGGTTTTTATGAGACAGGGTTTCTCTGTAGCTTTGAAGCCTGTCCTGGAACTCGCTTTGTAGACCAGGCTGGCCTCAAACTCACAGAGATCCGCCTGGCTCTGCCTCTCAGTGCTGGGATTTAAGGTGTGTGCCACTACCACCTGGCTTCAATTTGATTACTGATAAAAGGATTTGTCACCTATATTGCACTTGTAGTGTTTCTTCCAAGAATAAATTTTCTGATACCTATGAAATGTTGATAACTAAGGAAAGGACATTTTACATTCTTTGCATTTGTAAGGTTTTTCCACTGTATGGAGCCTTTGATGTGTTTTAAGGTTTGAGCACTGATTAAAGGACTTGTTACAAATGTTGCACTTGTAGGGTTTCTCTCCAGTATGAATTCTCTGATGTCTTGTAAGAGTTGACTTTTGAGTAAAGGACTTGTCACATTCCTTACATTTGTAAGGCTTCTCTCCAGTATGCATTTTCTGATGGCTATGAAGTGATGATAACCGAGGAAATGACTTTCCACATTCTATGCATTTGTAAGGTTTTTCCACGGTATGGAGTCTTTGATGTGTTTTAAGGTTTGAGCACTGGTTAAAGGATTTGTCACAAATGTTGCACTTGTAGGGTTTCTCTCCATTATGAATTCTCTGATTCCCATGAAATGCTGATAAATGAGGAAATGACTTTCCACACTCTTTGCATTTGTAAGGTTTCTCCACTGTATGGAGCCTTTGATGTGTTTTAAGATGTGAACATCGATGAAAGGATTTGTCACAAATGTCGCACTTGTAGGGTTTCTCTCCAGTATGGATTCTCTGATGCCTTGTAAGAGTTGACTTTTGAGTAAAGGATTTGTCACATTCCTTACATTTGTATGGCTTCTCTCCAGTATGACTTCTCTGATGGCTATGAAGTGATGATACCTGAGGAAATGACTTTCCACATTGTTCACATTTGTAAGGTTTTTCCCCAGTATGGATTCTTTGATGTGTTTTAAGATTTGAGCGCTGGCCAAAGGATTTGTGACAAATGTTGCACTTGTAGGGTTTCTTTCCACTGTGAATTCTCTGATGAATTATAAGATTTGACTTCACAGAAAAGGACTTGTCACATTCCTTACATTTGTAAGGCTTCTCTCCAGTATGCATTTTCTGATGGTTTTTAAGGACTACCAACAGGCGAAATGACTTTCCACACTCCTTGCATTTGTAAGGTTTCTCCCCTGTATGAAGTCTTTGATGTGCTTTAAGACTTGCACTCTGATTATAGGATTTGTCACAAATGTTGCACTTGTAGAGTTTCTTTTTATTATAAATTCTCTGATGTATGGTTAGGCTTGGGGAGGCACTGTAGTATTTTCTGCATTTTGTACATAAATGTGGATTTTCTCCAATGTAGATTAGTTGTTTTATAAGACTGTATGTAGAGTTGAAATGGTCATCATATTCTCCCTGCCTGTGCTCTTTCTTAGCTAAGTAGAATCTCTGATCTTGAAAAATTTTGGAGAACAAATTTAAATATTTCTTACAATCTTTAGATTTGCAAGGTTCTTCTCCAGTGTGCATGCTCTGATATCTATCTGTAAGTAAAGAGAAGTCAATCAGCAACTATTTAGACTAGAGTTATCAGTAGTCAACCTAATTCTTTCATGATACTTATATGGATTCTAACAAAAATGAAGTGATAGCCTTCAGGTAAGATGAAACAAATATTAGTGGAATCAGTAATTAACCTTGTGATAGAGCTCACTAGGCTATTGTATTTAGAACACATTTTTCCATTTTTAAATATTTATTTCTTCACATATTGATGAAAAAGAGTTTAATCTAATCCCAGGCAGAAAGTATTTGTAATTCCTAATGAACAGCAATTAAGAATACTGTTGAAAATTCCCTTTAATATGAAAGTCTTACTCAAAGAGTAAGAATATATTCACATCACAGAGTATATTCTCTTCTCTAGAAAACAGAGTGTATTCTCCAAAGGTAATGGATGCAGAGACAGTATTCTGTCAGACTTCACAAGCTCAGATCATGTAAGGCAGGGCTGTCATGGACAGCTATTGCTGTTTTCTAGCCTCCATTGGCTGAGGTTCCCACACTGCTATGCTTCTTAACTTTCCTCAGTTCACTCTGTACAACAAATCCTGAGATTAGTTCCCAGAAGGATGTCTGCATATTGTCCACTGGGGTGAAAATGAATGATGTAATATGAAGACAAACATGCAAGTAAGGAAATTATAAAATATACCCACTTCATGGATTAATTTTCAATGCAAACTTTGCAGAAGTATTCCAATTTGATGTCAACATAATTAAATAAAATTGAAATTTGTACTAGTATTAAGCCATCATAATTCAGATGCAATAAAGTACAATATCTTCCAGCAGTTACTACAGGCAGCATGCATCCTGGGATCATGAAACTATACTAACTTAAAATATCAGAAATCCTTCCAGGTGGAATTAAAAATACAGCAAGATCACTTTCAGCCCTTGCTTTCTCCTTCACTTGAGGCTGTCACTGCTGTTCTGCTCATTCACTAGCTCACCCTGGTTGTGGCTACTGTCTTCACTCCACATTCCAGGGCAATCTAATTTTTTCCAGACAGGTGACCAGGCCTACTTTGCATATAGTCCATGTGTTGTGTGATGTAGCACATGATCCATGGCAGAATATTTAGAAAGAATACAGACATCGAACATAGTACTGTGCTCAGTACATAAGGAGAACACAGAGTAGGGGAATATAGGAATGTTTCCCAATTGCTATTTCCTGTAAATATTCTAAACATATTTAGGGAGAATTCTCAGTTTGCTTACATTGAGTTTTTCTTAGAATTAAAATGATATTAAATGAAAATATGGACATGGAGCTTAAATTTGGGGTGGAAATAGCCCCAAATCCTTTGACCTACCATCTGTCCTACCTGCAAAATATGCTAGGGCAATGATGGAACAGAAATGGAGGGAGCAGTCAACAAATGTCTGATTTTAATTATGGCCCAATCTACAACATGTAACCCTAAGCAACATTGCTTGGGTAACCCAGGACCAAAGACTAGATAGATGAGAAAACAATGGCAAATCCAAAATCTACTGGTGTACAAATAAAAAAAAGTAACAATAGAATGACTACTAATTATATTCTACTATACTTATAGATCAGGGTCATATCCAGTCATTACCTGAGAAACTTCCTCCTGTGGCATATGGGAAAAATGCATAGACCCACAGCTGTATGTGGAGAGAGTCTACATGAGATATCTCCATCAAATCCCCCTCTTCATAGCTAAGGGAACCATGCAGAAGAGGAAGTGAAAGGAATATAAGATCCTGAGGGGATTGAGGACAACAGAAGAACAAGGATTTTGAAAAAAAAAAAAACTAGCCAAGTGCAAGTAAATCCACAGAGACTGAAGCAGCAGGTATTGGGCATACATGTGTCTGCACCAGGTCCTTGGCATAAATATTATAGCTTTAACCTTAGTATTATTATGGAATTCCTGAGTGAGATCAAATGGATCTCTGATGCCATGCCTCTTCCTAGGAGATTTTCCCATCGGTGGAGTTACCTTGTCTAACTTCAATATGATGGTTTTGCTTCATTTTATTATATTTTATTTTGTCATGCTTGGTTGTCATCTCTTAGAAGGCTGCTCTTTTCTAGTGAGAGGAAGCAATGGAGTGGATATTGAGGCAAAGAGTTACGGGGAAGAACTGGAAGGAGTATAGGGAGGGGAAAGTATAATCAGAATATACTGTATGAGAAAGGAATCTCTTGCAATAAAAAAACAATGAAAAAGATTTGGGTGCAAATATTATATACAACTACTATTCTGAATGTATCATGGAACCAAATGAGTTGTGCATGACATTTCCAAAATCAAAAAAGAAAAGGAAAATATTAAATATTATGAAAAAGTTCTTTCCTACTACCAATTTTCTATAGTCACTTCTTGTTTCCAAGACAGCTTAACACAGTTTGTTTACAACCTGTAAAGTTGGTACATATGTAAGATACGTTAGGAATTCTACAAGCAAAATGTTCGCACCCACAATGACCAGGTTCCTGTAATTCTCCAACATCACTTCAATGTACAAAGTCCTCTGAGCAGAGTCCAGGCATTCCCACTCCTCCTGGAAGAAGTCCACAGCTACATCCTGGAATGTCAAGAGATCCTGAAACAAAAAACTACAGTTCGATCATGTGATACCAGACAGAGAGCTTCCTTGGATAAAAGGGGACTTGAAGAAATTAGGGATGTATAATCATAATGAAATATATGTAATAATAAAAATATAAAATTACATGTGAGGCTCCAGAGCTTCTGTTCCAAATGTCAACTCTAACTGTATAAAATTACATTGCAGTGTATAAGCTTTGTATATGGTTAATTTCAGTATCTGAATTTTGTCTTGTGTGCTTGTAATATTTTTATAACAGAGTTAAAAAATATCAGAAGAAAATTAAAGGCTTCCAATGTCTCAAAATATAACATTTCTAGAAAAAATAGTGGACATGATCACTGACCTGGGGCTTGTTTATTGCAGAATCAGCCATTTCTTTCTGTTCTCTTCTTTGAATTTCTCTTTTATGAATGCTGAATAGATGGCTTGCTGTCCTTTCATTAAGAGATTGAAAAGAAAATACAAATATCAATACTTAAAGCTATTAAAGAAAAATGTCAAATCACATGAAAAGACCTAAGAAACAGAATACTCCCAGTTGTGTGGTAAAAGATTCCAAAGACAGTCAACATGTAAGTATATTTAAAGCCTGGAGGGAAAATTGTCATCAACTACATTGTTAAAACCAAAAAAATAGTCTCTAAAATTAATGGAGAAAAAAGTGCTTTTCAAGATAGGCAAGAATAACACAATTCATTTTAATAAAGGGGGACAGCAGATAATTAATTAGAGGAAAAATATGCAGAGGTCAATCAGAGGAATTATCCATGAGAACATGGGAAGTAATAAATTTCATGTGAAGAATTGATAAGCAGATGAGAAATGGGAAGTAGTCATCCATAGGCAAGATAGCAAACCACTAACTCTTACATTAAATAAATAGTATTCTCAATAATCCAATCAGTATCTGCTGTGGAAAATTCTTTTGTACACTGTGAAAATTTCTCCCTGTGATTGGTTTAGTATGGAAGCTGATAGGTGGTAACTAAACAGGATAAGGCTAGGTGAAAACATCAAACTGAGAATGCTGAGAAAAAGAAGTGCAGAGTTAGGAGAGTTGCTAGCCAGAGGAAGGATGAATCAGATGCACACAATGTGATAGAGGTAAAGGCCATGAGCCTTGGGGTAGTACATGAATTAATAGAAATGGGTTAACTTATAAGAGCTAGTTAGTAATAAGCCCGAGCTATTTTCTGGGCATTTGTAATTAATATAAGCCTCTGGGTGACTATTTTAGAGTAGTTGAGGGACAGGGAAATGTCCACTTACAAGCAACACTACAATCTTAATCATAGAAAATAAAAACTTATAAACAAAAATTCTAGCAACTCTGGAAATCAACACAGAGAATTTTAAATCAAATATACAAATCCTAAAGTTAAACAAATTTAGCACATGGACAAGCTGTATCACTCATTGGCATATGTTCAATAAGACTTGACACTCTACTCATAGACACTTGCTCAACCATGGTCATTGCTGTTCTATTCATAATAGCTTTGAAAGGGAAACAATTTAAATGTCCTTCAACTGACAAATGGATAGTGAAAATATAGTACAAATATAATATAAAATACTATTCAACTGTGTAGAAAATTGATCTTCAGATCTGAGTACACAAACTGCAGTAACCAGAAAAGTAAAAAAGAGACCACAGTGAGATATAGGGGAGTAATAGAGAGAGAAATTGTGGAGGGGCCCCAAAACAGCTTGACCACACAGCCATCATGACAGGCTTAGGGGCCCAGACACAGCTTCTCTGACAGGCTTACTGGCAGGCAACACCCAAGTCCAGGGAAAGCCTTAAACTGACACCTCCCAAGGATCTACCCAGGGATGAGGAAGTACCTGATATCTCAAACATTCCAACCATTAGATAAAGTGGCTAGATATCCCTGAGTTTAGCACACACCTATTTTTGTTTTACAGATAGCCCTAGACAATTGTCAGCCAATCAGGGTCCTGGACCCTGGAAATCCCCCCACCCCATCCTCTGCTATGATAAAAATCCCACCCTGCCTGAGCTCAGGGCTCTCTGTTTTCTCCTGCTATGTCAGATATACAGAGAGTCCAAGTTCAGAACTTGAAGGTAATAAAGGCTCTTTGTTTTTACATGCATGATTCGGTCTCTGTGGTGGTGTTTTGGGGGTCCCTGTGATCTGACCATGACATTTGGGGGCTCACCCAGGATCCCCTAAGCACATCAGGACCACTCACTGGCCCATAGATCCTGAAGAGCTGGCTGGTTATGTCTTCTGTGTGTCTGTGTTTACCTGTGTCTAGTTTTGTGTTTTCTGTATTTACTTTGGTTTGGTTTTGTTTGGATATCCTTTTGTAAGTGGGATTTTAGAATATCCTTTTATAAGTGGGCGTTTGGGCCATTTGGATATCATTTTTTAAGTGTCCCAAATTTGTAAGTACCTGCATGTATATGAATTTGATTTGTGTTGACGACGTGGGTCGCTCTCATGGGACTGGCATGAGGCTGGCATCTTTTTGGGTTTGGTTTTGTCTCCAGATAACAGGAGAGCTGTTTTGCTGTCTTGTGTGTTCTAAAAAGTTTTGTTTGCCTTCCTGTTGGAATGTCCTACCTATATGAATGTGTGACTGTATGAGAAATGTGGCTACATATATGTGTGTTTTATGCCTGAGCTTGTATGTGTGTTATAACTCCTAGTGGAAGCTGTTCATGGACAGCTTTTGGGGCCAGATGGCCAGCATAAGGGATGGAGAGTCCCTTTGGTTGGGCTGGGACAGACTAAGAATGCTCCTGCCTCATTTACTCCTTTTTCTCTGGGCAGCCGGCCAGCCCAGGCAGCGGCTCATTGTTATGGTATGGTGTGGCGTGGGCAACAGCCATGAGGATTTTACATGGCCAGCCCCTATACAGGGAGCCTCAAGTTAGGGGTTTCATGGTATAGTGCAGACAGGAGCCAGTGGGGGCCTCAAGGAACTCAAAGCATGCCTGATCCAGGCAGGGACTTGGGGAGAACAGCCCCTTCAGGGCCACAGTCGAGATGTGGCCTACAGGTCCTAGAGCCCAGTCACTCTCAAGTACTTGAGAATCTGGGTTTAACAACAATCTTTTGTCTCCATGCTGTGTGGGTCCTTTTTCCTCTAATGATGATGGGTGGGTCTCCTAAGACCTGCCCTGGGGCTAAAACCTGATCAAGGTTTGGTTCCAAGAGCAGAATGGGCCGGGCGTTGGTGGGGCACGCCTTTAATCCCAGCACTCAGGAGGCAGAGGCAGGCGGATCTCTGTGAGTTTGAGGCCAGCCTGGACTACCAAGTGAGCTCCAGGAAAGGCGCAAAGCTACACAGTGAAACCCTGTCTCAGAAAAACCAAAAAAAAAAAAAAAAGAGCAGAATGGAATGTCACTGCCTATGGTTGCTAAGCTACCACAGCTATGTTATAAGGCTAACCAACTGTTTCTTGCTTGTGGTACAGTGCTGATACAAATCTAGAGTTATTCTTGTAATGGTATATGCATGTATTTCTGTTCTTGTTTAAAATACTGTAGCTTTACAGTATATTCTAAACCACTGAGGGAAATCCCAAGAAAGACTTTGGTAAGAGTTTTCTATGTTAAAAAAAGAAAGAAATTTGTCTGAAATAAATGTCTGGACAGACTGGGGGTACATGGGAGGTTATGGAAGGTCAGAAAGGGTCTTATGGAAGGTTGTCAAAGGTCAGAGGGAATGTGAACTATGTTCATTGTGGTTTCTTATACCTGCAAATACTGAATTTAAAAGTTAATTCTGGTTGGTTTTCATTTTAAAATTAACTGATAATTCTGCAAACTGTCATGTTAAAAACGGATACATCTATCTATCTATCTATCTGTCATCTATCATCTATCTATCTATCTATCTATCTATCTATCTATCTATCTATCTATCTATCTATCTATCTATCTATCTATATGTGTGTATATGGACACATATGTGACTTGGGTTTAACTATATATATGAGTGTAAAGCTAGCTTTAACTGTATGTGTGTGTATGTAACTTGCATCCAACTGTGTAAACGTGTGCAAGTAATTATTGTTTAAAAAACATGCTTTAAACAGCAACCACATGGCTTTCCTCCATACTGGTTGGTGACCTCATGGGCAGTCATGTGGCTAGCAACCATCTTTTACTAAGGTTATAAAGATCTATTCAGGTCAACAAAAGCTAACTTAGAGATTTACAGCTAAGTACTTATGTGTTTACCAAGTGTTCAACAGCAAGATTCTAGAGAATTTAAATAGATGGCTATATATGTTTAATAAATAAGGTATTTGATAAATATTAAAGCTTCATCTCAATATTTGCTCTGGCAGCTAAACTTTGTAATTTAAGATTCACTCATGCAATAAGATAATGGTTTTAAAGACATGAAGGGATTATAGAGAACAGCTGAGGTTTCCAAGGTACAGCAGGACAAGCATTCTAATTGCAATGGTGGACCTTAGCAGTTTTGGAAATGCCAGTGTCAGGTAATTATCACCAGAAGCACCAGTCATAATGAAATGGAGCAGGCTATGTATATGCTGCAAAGGGTAGGGCCAATGAAATCATCCAAGCCTCTAAGTAAAAGAACCAAAAGGATTGTGAATGAATCCCAGATATTGAACTCTGGGATTGTTTGCACTATGGAACTTGGTTTTGCTTTATACAGATTGTGGCGAGGTCATGTTTTTTCCCTCTAAGAGTAAAAGAAGATATTTTATTTATTTATTCATTTATTTATTTATTTTTATTTTTTGGTTTTTCAAGACAGGGTATCTCTGTGTAGCTTTGCACCTTTCCTGGATCTCACTCTGTAGACCAGGCTGGCCTTGAACTCACAAAGATCTACCTGGCTCTGCCTCCCGAGTGCTGGGATTAAAGGCATGCACCACCACTGCCTGGTGGTATTTTATTTTTGATATTGCAGAAAGACATTTGAGAGATCTTAACCTTTTTAAGGACAGTTTTTAAAATATTTAAATTTTGTAAGGCTTTGGGAAATTGTAAGTTTATGAAATGCTCTATATTGTTAATATTTGGACTTAAAATAAAAGGCTAAAAATTAGGGTAACAGCCATAAGCACCAAATACTAACCAGGAACTGGGATGTTCATTTCTTGTGATGCAGCAAGACAGTAAGTAACCTAAGCAGTCTGGCAAAGGGCTTGGAAAAGTCTGACGCTATGAATTTCAACCCTTTGAGTGTTTAAAAAACCTTTTCACCAGGGTAGCCTAGGACCATCTGTATGTCAAATGTTTGCATTGAGATTCAACAATGGCAAAACTTCACTTATGAAATAGCATTGAGAATGTTGAGAACTAGTGACTTGGAGAATGTTTTTTCTTATCCAGGATCCATTCAGGCTTAAGAATGTTGTCTAGCCTCCTTGTCTTTGTGAAATTTGTTAAGCTTAAGCTATTTGGATAAACTTGAGTCACATAAATGTTTTATATTGATACTAAAAGAGCTTCAATTGAGAGATTTTTTAAGGCTCATACTTAACAGAGATAAAATTACAAAGTCATTTTCCCAAGATCAGATATTTAGATAAAGCTCCCATTTCCCCAGGGGCTTGGAGAAAGTTCTTATTTGCTATGAAGAGAGTCACCTTTCTTATCTCTGGTAAAAGGAACTTATGGCCCTTCCATTAACATATGGCTATTTTGTTTTGTTTTCTTTACTGGACCCATATTTGATACTAGAAAAGCTTTAAAACAATCATTGTTTTTAAGGTCACTTATTGTAGACTGCTAGAAAACATAAGAAAATAGTCATCTTATAAATAATCAAGTTCTTTAATTGAAGTCATGCTAAGTACTGATGTAATTAATTACAGGGTTAAGTTTTACTCAGTTTCTTGCATATGTTTTCAGGGTTGAGCTTAAAATAAGTAACTATAAACAAAGTTTGTCTATTCAGATATACCTGGACAGCCCTCATACTTCAGAGATCTACAGAATATGGCATTCAAATGTTGATCTAAAAGCTTATTATAACAGACAGACTTCCAGATCCTAGCAGTGACCCAAGGTCTCCAAAGAAGATTATGTATGAGGCACCACCACATTATCTGCCTGGATTACCACAGGACAAGATGCTCCAATGCCACGCCTGTGCTGTGGGATGTCCTGTATTCTGTAAATATATGTTGCTACGATTGATTGATAAATAAAACACTGATTGGCCAGTAGCCAGGCAGGAAGGATAGTGTAGGTGGGACAAGGAGGAGGAGAATTCTGGGAGGTGGAAGGCTGAGGCGGGGAGATGCTGCCAGCCACCGCCATGAGGAGCAGGATGTAAAGTACTGGTAAGCCACAAGTCATGGGGCAAGGTATAGATTAATAGAAATGAGTTAATTTAAGATACAAGAACTAGATAGCAAGAAGCCTTAGCCATTAGGCCAAACAGTTTAAATAATATAAGCTTTTGTGTGTGTTTTTTTTTTAGTCTAAGTGGCTGCCAGCCCAGGCGGGACTGGAGATAACTCCCGCTACATGCCTGCCACCAGGACCTGGCCTAGACTGTGGACAATAAGCAGGATACTGGAATTGATTGCACCCCCTTGCCTTGATAAAGTGAGATCAGTCTACTGCATCCCTATTCCACAGGAAAAAATCTGCCTTATGGGCCGGATGGTGGAAGAAGATGATGCTATTCCAATATTCGTGCCTCCAACACTGTGGAGACTTGGGTATGAAATTTTCCCTGTCATTTATAGAATTGGAAGCTGCTTGGTCTGTACTCAGACATAGTTTATCCTTTTTGGATATCTAATAGTACTGATGGCTAGACTAGCTATAATTTGTCAGCTTGGCAGCATCAGACAACCAGATCTATAGCCAGCTTGTTAGCTCATTTTTAAGAGAATGTTCTAAGATATTTTTATAAGTCATAAAAGCTGAAAGGCTGGGTCAAAAAGAAACTCCCTGACATAGAGGCAAGATGGCCAACTATAATGACCATTGATATACAAGGAAAATAGGTTCATGGTTGTCAATAGATAAATTTATTAACTGAAATGGTTCTGCAATAAGGTAAGACACTTGACCTTCTTTGTGTAGCATCAAAGAGGTATTATATAAGATCATAATCAAAGATCAGAACTACAGGGCCTTAAAAATATCAATAGATAAATGTGTCATTGCCCTAGAAAAATCGGTTAGCTAATGGTTTGTATGTCCCAATACCCTTGAACCTCTTGATAGGTAGGACTCATGATTGAGTCCTATAATTGGTACTTGTGAAGGGGGGGATGTGGAGGGACCCCCAAACAGCTTGACTACAGCCAACATGACAGTCTTAGGGGCCCAGACACAGCTTCTGTGACAGGCTTACTGGCAGTCAACACCCATATTCAGGAAGGGCCTTAAACTTAACACCACCCAGGGATCCACTCAGGGATGGGGAAGTACCTAACATGCCAAACACTGCAACCATTAGATAAGGTGGTCAGATATCCCTGAGACTAACACACACCTATTTTTGTTTTACAGATAGCCCTAGACAATTGTCAGCCAATCAGGGTCCTGGACCCTGGAAATCCCCTCACCCCAACCACTGCTATGATAAAAATTCCACCCTGCCTAGGCTCACGGCTCTCTGTTCTCACCTGCTGTGTCTAACTGACAGAGGGACCAAGCTCAGAGTATGAAGATTGTAAAGAGTCTATGCTTTTACATGCATGATTCAGTCTCTGTGGTGGTCTTTCAGGAGTCCCAATGATATGGGTATAACAGGAATAAGAGGGAACAGTGATGTAAAGGGAGAAATAGAAAAACAAGGAGAGAATTATGGAGAATGTACAGATATAAACACAGAAGAAGGAGGGTATAATAACACTAAGGATGTCTAAAACATCATAAATAATCATACTCTTATCATCTATCATTAATACCTATAACATATAAGTCTGTGTATCCTGCTGTGGATATCACTCTATATAAATAAAACACTGATGGCCAGTTGCCAGGCAGGAAGTAGGTGGGATAAGGAGAGAGGAGAATTCTGGGAAGCGGAAGGCTGAGGAGAGAGACACTGCAGCCACCGCCAGGACAAGCAGCATGTGAAGACGCTGGTAGGCCACCAGCCACGTGGCAAGGTATAGATTTATAAAAATGGGTTAATTTAAGATATAAGAACAGTTAGCAAGAAGCCTGCCATGGCTATACAGTTTATAAGTGATATAAGCGTCTGAGTGATTATTTTATAAGTGGATTGTGGGACTGCGGGGCTTGGGGAACCTGGAGAGAAGCTCTCCAGCAACAGTATCCAATTACAGTTAAAATATAAATGAAAATTTCCCATCTGGGCTGATAATGCTTCTTATAAGAGACAGATCTTTTAACAAAATGACAAACACCACGTGTTAGAAGCCTGCTTTGGAGTTGTTGGTCACAGCTATCCTTAAGATTATGGAACCATTACAAACTACTGTTGTTGTCCATGCTTGCCTCCTAGAGGTAGAAGGTGAGTCCCTATTGTTTAAGTCAAACACTTTTCACATAGATGTTGCAGGAATCCTAAATGGTCTTATAATAAAAAACATGGAGCCAGATATTGGGGTAAATGCTGAAAGATCAGTGAGGCAAAGGAACAAGCTACAGCCACTTCTCACCTCACCAATTAATCAGCCAATCCTGTCTCCATGAATCCTCAGACTGAATGCTTCTGAATCCTCTTCCAAAAGGGCATTGAGTTCCTGTCTCCTCATGCCTTCTATGCCTTTCTCCACCCAGTCATATCATGTCCTGAATCAAACTTCCTAGTTCTGGGATTAAAAGCATGTGACTTCCAAGTACTGGGATTAAAGGTGTGTGCCACCACTGCTTGGCTCTGTTTCTCTGTTAGACTGGATTAATCCCATGTAGCACAATGTGGCCTTGAACTCACATAAATCCAGACAAATCTCTGCCTCTGCTTCACAAATGCTAGGATTAAAGGTGTGTGCCACCACCGCCTGGCCTCTATGTTTAATCTAGTGACTTGTTCTGCCCTTTGACAGAATTTTTTAGAATATAATAAAATATCACCACACACAGATCCCAGAGAACTTGAGGAAGGACTTGTTGTTGGAATCTTAAATGGTCTTTGGTATGCACAGATTCGGGGGTGGGGACCCCAAAAGACCACCACAGAGACCGAATCATGCATGTAAAAGCAAAGAGCCTATATTTTCAAGCTCTGGTGCTTGGTTTGTCTGTCCCACAAAGTGGTGAGAGCAGTGAGCCCTGAGCTCAGGTGGGATGGGATTTGCAGAGGTTGGGGTGAGAGAATTTCCAGGGTTCAGGACCCTGATTGGCTGACAATTGTCTAGGGGCATCTGTAAAAAAAAGTTGAGTGCTAGACTCAGGGATATCTGGCCACCTTAACTAATGATTGGAATATTTGGGATGTTAGGTACTTCCTCATCCCTGGGTGGATCCCTGGGTGGTGTCAGTTTATGGCTTTTCCTGGATCTGGGTGTTGCCTGCCAGTGAGCCTGTCACAGAAGTTGTGTCTGGGCCTCTTAAGCCTATGATGACAGCTGTGTAGTCAAGCTGTTTTGAGGCCCCTCTACAGTCTTCTAATGAAAATCCTAAGCCAGACATTAAGGTGAAAGCTGAAAAATCAGACAAGTAGAGTAAACCACATCCATTACCACTTACCTCACCACTTCCTTGGCCTGAAAGAGCTCATGTGATAGGCCTCTAGCCAAATAGCTTCCTCAGCTGGAAACGCTCCAGCAGAAAAAGCCTCTAGCTGAAAGGGACACTTTTGGGGAAAAGCCTTTAGATACTGTGTCCTCAAGCCTTATACATGTTTTTTTTCCATCCAGCCATTGCTTTCTTGGATTAAAGGCATGTGTTCTTCCTAGTACTGGGATTAATGTTTGCCACCACTGCCTGGCTTCTATGTTAAATCTAGGGGCTTGTTCTGTTTTCTGATCGTCAGACAAATTTTATTAGGGTACACAATATACCACCACAAAACTAACCATAAAGCTTCTTTCCTGAAGACTCAATTTCATGATACTACAAGGCAACATTCAAGTTTCCAAAGGAGGGAGCCAGTCAACAGTCCTACCTAGCTATGACAACATCTGTGAACCACAAAAAAATCTGCACTGCATGATAACCCTAAGGGTGCAAGAGAGGTACACATAGCTTGGTGGCAACCAATGGCTTCTAATTGGATTTAAGACACTGTCAACAAGGGGGGAAACATGCCTAGTACAGGAAATCAAGCCAGTGTCCCCAGGAATAGTCAAGACAATAATCTTGGAGGAGAGCCTACAACCACTAATTTATCACATCAGCTTAATTCATAACATCATTTTAAATAGTTTTCTTATTCCCACAAATAAATGTAGTCCTTACCCCTCATCAAGGAAAGTTATTTTTAGCACCACAGGGAAATATAATAAAAGAAACAAAATCAGTTAAAATGCAGAGTTATGATGATGATGCTCAGTCCCAACTGACACATAAACAATACAAATATTGCACCTCACCCCCAAGGATCATTGAGAAAGAGGGGGTGGGGACATCATAAGAGCCAGAGGAAATGGGATGTTTGCTGTGGGATTGTGTCCCCCTAGGAATGCACAAAAGGCTACATGCATGAAACCTTAGAAACATGGCATCCTAAACAAGAGCAGAAAAAGGAAAACACCAAGAGACATGCTAACATGGATGGGGGAGAGCTCACTAGGCCTCAATGCTGGTCAAACACTAAGAAATTCTGAGTGCTACGAGTCTTTCCCAGAGAAGAATGTACCATATGGTTATCCAATACCAAATATTCTTTCCTGAAAACATACAGACTGAGTAGGTTGTATTTTTATGTTTAGGACTATACCAAACATACAACAACAATGAAAGAAAATGTTATATAATAATAATAATAATAATAATAATAATAATAATAATAATAATAATAAATACCAGCTGGGTGGTTGTTGCCTATGCCTTTAATTCCAACACTCAGGAATCAGAGGCCAGTTGATCTCTGTTAGTTTGAGGCCAGCCTGGTCTACAAAGCAAGTTCCAGGACAGACTTCAAAGCTACACAGAGAAATCCTGTGTAAAATGAATCATAAACAGTCTTATTAATAAAAATACCAGGAGCCAGATATTGGGGTGAAGATTGAAAGATCAGAGAAAAAGAAAAATCTCCAAACAATCTCACCTCATCAACTCCTCAGCCGATCCTGTTTCCTCAGACTGAAAGCCTCTGCATTCTCACCTAAAGGGTCTTAGCTGAACTGCTGCTAAAAAGCTTCTAGTTCCTTGTCCTGACTCCTTATATACCTTTCTTCTTCCTGCCATCACATCCTGGGATTAAAGGCATGTGTCCTTCCCAAACAAAGATATGAGATCTTGAGTGCTGGGATTAAGGGGTGTACCACCACACCTGGCTTTTTTTCCCATTGTGGCCTTCAATTTGCAGAGATCCAAATGGATCTCTGCCTCCCCAGTCCTAAGATTAAAGGTGTGCCACTATTGTCTGGCTTCTACATTTAATCTAGTGGCTGGCTCTGTCCTCTGATCCTCAGGCAAGCTGTATTTGATACACAATATATCACCACAGGATGAGGTTCTAAATTCATCATAGAATCAAGATAATGGGAGTCTTTCACCTCCCAAAAGGACACACACAATGATGAGAGAACATTTTTTGAAAATTTTCTTTTTTCCTTTGAGGATTTCACTTTACACTCAGTGATTTGAGACTCATTCAAACAAAGCTCACACACTTGTGGCTTAGTTTCTCAAAAAACTCTCACTAGGAACAAGGGAGACTTCAAGCAACTATTGTCACCCACAGAAACCAGACTGCTGCAATTCTGCCATATCCAGTCTCTGTACAAACTCTCTGAGCAGGCTCCAGGTATTGCCCCACCTCCTGGGAGAAGTCCACAATCAGACCACTGGCTGCCAACAGACCACAAAGTAAAAATCAAGGGTTTAAATGGTTGTGTTGGTTCACACATTTAATCCTAGCCCTCAGGAGACAGAGGTGAGTGGAACTCTCTTAGTTCCAGGACAACCTGTTCTACATGGTGAATTTGGGACATACAGAACAGGACTGTGTGTTCAGATCTCAAACAAATCAAACATAATAACTAAAAAAATAACAATTTATTCATGTGTCCATGGACAGAGTGCCTTTTTTGAACCAAGGAGACAAAAGACTATTGCAGTCATTTTTCTGATGTAGATGAGTGATCATAATTATTCAATATTTTTTTCTTTGTTTCTTCGTTTCTTTCTTTCTTTCCTCCCTCCCTCTCTACCTCCCTCCCTCCCTTTCTTTCTTTTCTCTTTCTTTTTTCATTTTTTTTGGACAGGGTTTCTTTGTGTCTCTCTTGTTTTCCTGAAATTTGTTCTGTGGACCAGGTGGGCATTAAACTGAGAGATCCGCTTGCCTCTGCTTCTCTAGTGATGGGATTAAAGGTGTGTACCACTACCACCAGGCTTATAATGCCTTTTCTAACTGAAAACGCTGTGACCTGATACCCTCAAACAGCATACTGGGCTTTCTAGACTCCAAGGTGCAACACTAAGAACTCAGCATAGGAAGACACATTTTTGTTTTTTGTTTTTTCTTTTTTGTTTTTGTTATTTTGAGAGAGTCTAACCACTTAGCAATGGTGTCCTGGAACTCACTATTTACACCAGGATGGCCTCAAAATTACTGAGATCTGTTTTTCCCTGACTCCTGAGTGCTGGTATTCGGAGCCTGTGCCACCAGGCCTCACAAAGACACCTTTTTTCAGAATGCTGTATTTACATCAGAGTGCATAATCACAGATGAAAAATTAATGATGGATAAAAAGTTTGCTTTTAAATGTTAATGTATACAACCATACCTGTAGGAGAAATATTTTGAGAATCAATGAAGTCTGCAAGCATTCCTTTGAGGACTATTATCTAAAAGGTCTCTGGGGATGCCAACTACTTAGGTCCATATGCCAAGTGGTTATACAAGGCAGTTAGCATGGATGAATGTGAAGAGCTTTGTCCTATCCACCACGGCAAAGAGAAAAGTGTTTGCAAATATCAACAGATGAATTCAAACATTCTACTAGAGTATTTTTTTTTTCAAGACAGGGTTTCTCTGTGTAGCTTTGCGCCTTTTCTGGAACTCACTTGGTAGCCCAGGCTGGCCTCGAACTCACAGAGATCTACCTACCTCTGCCTCCCGAGTGCTGGGATTAAAGGCGTGTGCCACCACCGCCCGGCCTACTAGAGTATTCTTATAAGAACTTATAAGAATGGAAGATTAATGAAAAAAATCAGAAGTGGTCACATTCATATTACCTAAAATTTACCAATGAGGGTAAAATATCCACTGCAGAACTTCAGAGTCTGCTTCCTTAGGAACAAAAAAGGAATTGCTGGCACTGCAGGTTCCTTCCCTCCTGTGTCCCAGCCCCACGGCTCATCTGACCTAGGAGGATTCAGGGCAGCAGGGCTGCTTTTCCTGCCACTGGACTGCTGACTTGGTGACTTTCTCAGGCCGCCCCCTGGGGCGACTGTTGCTCCCAGGAGTTTTAGCATCCTCAGCACCCAGGTTGGCATCATTCAGCTCCCCCACTCTGCAGGCCTCCTAGCAACAACAGGGAATGGGCATTTTTCACTTCTGGCTTCGACTCCTCAGTCCACTTCCCAGTCCTGTCTCACTAGATATACCAGCTTCACCTGTGCAGGCCATACAGACCTCATCTTAGGGTAGGGCCACCTGCTGTGCTGAGTTCCAAGAAGGACTTCAGGAATGTGCCATTACAACTTGAACAGATACAGGGCAGTATGTTCCTGCAGACGTTCTGTCTACAGTCTATGGCCCTTGAAGATATTCAGATAATCCTGTTCAGTGGATTGTGGCTCCCCACCAAAAGTCTAACCCAATGGTTTCAAAAGTGGCTTCATGCTGAAAGTCTAGACCAATAGTTTAAAAATAATCACCTTTCCCCATATCCCTTCTACCCAGTCCCATGCATGTGATTCCCAGCTTGTGGGTTTCTCTATAAAAAATCTCTACACCTGAGCTCATGGCCACAGCCACATTTCCTTCCATCTCCCTCGCGATGGCCCAGGTAGAACCTGATAATAAAAGGAACCTTATGTGCTTGCATTGGAAACTGGCTTCTTGGTGGTCTCTGGGGCTTTTGTGAAATGGGTACAACACCCCTTAGGTCACTCTTCTAAACCCATCCACTCTCCACTCTTCCTCTACAATCAGCCAATATGGCACATTCTCTGTTTCCCAGTGAATGCCCCTGCCCCAAGTAACCAGTCCCTCCCTCTTAGTCTCAGGCTGCCTTCCACACACTCCAGTAGTCAGACTGCTCTGGACCAGCTCTGCACAGTCTTCCCACATGCTTGCTGCCAGCCTAGACTGGATCCCAGAAGTGGATCTAGGAGGACACCGCACCCCATATCTGACCCTCTTATCCTGAGTTTGGACTACTTCATATGGAAATTGCCCAGTCTAATGTCTCATTTTGGGATTCCAGTTGCTGGCCTATAAACATAAAAAAAGTCAATAATCACTGGAAATCCTGATGCTCAGTTTCCATACCCCCAACACAAAACAAGATGAAATATTGCTGCCCCACCTCACAATTTCCATAGCTGTGTCCCCTAAGGAGAGCAAACTAGATGAACTGTGAGAAACAGCTCACAAATAGAGATACACACACATACACCCCACAGAAGCATTTTCAATGAGGTCAAAGTACATAAAGAGGAAGCAAGCCCTGAAGTCAAAGAGGACAGGAACAGAGAGATTGAAGAACAACAACAGCAACAACAAAAAAAAACAAAAACAAAAACAAAACCCCACAAGCAAATGGCTTGTCCTTGAAGAATGAGGAAAATTCAGACTATGAAAAGTGAATTCAATAAGGAGTTAGCAACACCAAAGAAAATTCAAACAGAAGTGAAACAGGAGGTGAAAAACACAATAAGCATAATAGTAAATCAATGCAAAGCCTCACCACCAGAAGAGACCAAGTAGGAGACAGAAGATCAGGGCTTGTAGACAAGGCAAGAGGATCTGCATCACTCAGTCAAATACGATGACTAAAAAAATCAGAAGCTCCATTCAAGTAGCACTAGTAAAATGTGAAAGTGAAATTCCAGCCGCATCTTCTACATTGATATAAAACATTCTAATAGTTGATGAAGTAACCGTCACCATGGAGAGCATTCCTGGGAAGCTGGATAATCATTTCCTTCATGATGCAAATGAAGTGACACTTAGAGCCATCTTTATCCTGCCCTCACAGTTCCCACTATTCACAGCCAAATAGCTGGGTTTCCATGATTAGCAACATCAACTTTGGGTGGGGAAGAAACTTCAGGAACTCTGGATTTCAAAATGAAATAGATGTCTCTGTAAGTTGCTGGCCTAAACACTACTGACAGGCAAGGCTTGAATTCATCCTGTGCTGTGTGGTTTTTACCACTAGATGATGATCTTATAATTTTGCTGAGTCAGAAACGAGTTTGTCTTCTGGGAGTCATGGTATAGGTGCTTTTAGATAAAACACAGAACATTCCTTTTGAAAATGCAGTGGTGAGCTGGGCGGCGGCGGCGGCGGCGGCGGCGGCGGCGGCGGTGGCGGCGCACGCCTTTAATCCCAGCACTCGGGAGGCAGAGTCAGGAGGATCTTTGTGAGTTTCAGGCCAGCCTGGTCTACAGAGTGAGATCCAGGAAAGGCACAAAGCTACACAAAGAAACCCTGTTTCAAAAAACCAAAAAGAAAAAAAAAAAGAAAGAAAGAAAAAGAAAATGCAGTGGTGAATGCAGAGACTCTTGCTGCTCCAGATGCAAAAAATAAGTAAGGTCTGTGAGCCCAGCCCCAGAGTCAGTTACACCACCCATCTATGGCTCTGGGAACATCAAGGAAGAGGAGGTGGGAAGGATATAGGAAGGGAAGGAGTGAAAATGGACATGATCTACCATTCTGCAGACTTCACACAGCTATAGTAATCAGTAACTGCAGCAAATAGTCTTACCTGCACTGGGCTCACTCAACACCAGCCCTAGCCACAATCATTCTAGGAAGGCGAGAGACAAACAGAGTCCCACTCTTTACTCTCAACTGTGACTATGGATAGAATTTAGGAGAAGGGGAAATCATAGCCTTTAGTTGTGTCTCTTATGCTGAGCCCACCATGCTTGAGTCCATAGCTTCAAACCCAGTTTCACACATGGCCCTTGTTAGTATCAGTGGATCTCCAAAGAAAATGGACAGATATGAATAAAGCATGATACTAATTAGTTGTAAGAATAAAAACTGGGCTGGGCGGGGGTGGTGCACACCTTTAATCCCAGCACTTGGGAGGCAGAGCCAGGTGGATCTCTGTGAGTTTGAGGCAGCCTGGGCTACAGAGTGAGTTCCAGCAAAGGCGCAAAGCTACACAGAGAAACCCTGTCTTGAAAAACCAAAAGAAAAAAAAAAAGAAAGGAAAGGAAAAACAAACAAACAAACAAAAAACCAATAATTAAAACTGGGAGTCAGGTATTAGGGTGAAAGCTGAAAGATCAGAGAAGCAGAGCAACCAGTGTCCAAAGACATCTTACCTCTACAAATCTTCATTCAGACTGAGTGGGTGGGAGATCCTGTCTCCACCTGCTTTATATTACTGTCTCCACCTCACTAGTGCTGGAATTAAAGGCTTGCATCGTCATTGCCCAGCTCTGTTTTTATTTTAGACTGATTAAATTTCATGTAGCCCAAGGTGACCTTGAACTCCAGATGATCTTCCTGCTTTCTCCTCCCAAGTGCTGCGATTAAAGGTTTGTGCACTCACAGCCTAGTTTCTATGGTTACTAGGGGCTAGCTCTGCCCTCTGATCTCCAAGCAAGCTTTATTTGTCAAAACACAAACAAAAAATATCATACAACATATGAACACCAGAATGAGATTTGTTGGGAGTATGATTCTGGGTTATAGGAAGATAAAAGTGGGTTGTATGCTTGTATAAGTGAAACTGTAAAAGAAAGTTTTTTTCAATCACCAAATGACTGCAATTTCTCTTTTCTTCCTTCCTGCCTCCCCCACCCCCAACAGAATTTTACTATGTAGATCTGGCTGACTTGGAACTCACTGTTGTAGACCAGACTGGCTTTGAACTCTGTCTGGGAAATCTGCCCATCTTTGTTTTCCAAATGTTGCAATCAAATGTGTGCTCCAATTTCTTTTTGAGTTGTCTGTTTATCTTGTTTTGTCATCAGGTAATACTGCGTTCATTCAGAATCTGGACATCTCCCTTCACTTTCTACATAAAGTAGATTCAGTATTGGTAAATTTGAATATGTGGGAGAACTCTATGATGCTCAATCTGGTATTGATCTTTTGTGGGAGGGGAAGACATTTATTACTGCTTCCATCTCACTCCTGCTTATTGTTCAGTTCAAATTGTCTTACTCTTCCTGGTCTTATTTTGTTGTGTTTTGTGCATCTGGAAACTTATTCATATCTTTTAAAGTTTCCAAGTTAGTGGAATAGAAGTCTTTAGAGTCAGAGGTAAGATCTTTTCATACATTCACATCTACTAGGCAATCTTAGCTTAGGTACTTGTCAAGACATGGCAACAAAAAGTTATGCATCTATCTATCTATCTATCTATCTATCTATCTATCTATCTATCTATCTATCTATCTAGGAAATGCAGAATAAAATTACTGAAGATTGCATCTAATACCAAATGGCCATTATCAGGAATAACAATGACACAAATGCTAGCATGAATATGGGAAAAGGGGCACCATTATACACTGCTGAGTGACAGTAACCTGGAACATCCACTTTAGAAATCAGTTTAGATGTTTTATTTTTTAAAGATGTATTTATTTATCATGTATACAGTGTTTTGTCTCCATGCATGCCTGTATGCCTGAAACAGGCATCAGATCTCATTCTAGATGATTGTGAGCCACCATCTGGTTGCTGGGAATTGAACTCAGGCCCTCTGGAAGTGCAGACAGTGATCTTAACCTCTGCACTATCTCTTCAGACCTAGATGTTTCTTAAGAACTAGAAAAATAACTATCAGATGAGGTAGATTAGCATTTATATTAGTCAAGATTCAGTAAAGGAAGAAAACTGACAGAATTAATACATATATAAAGGGATTAGGCCATTTTCCAGGAAGTGGTTTGGGGAGTCCAACAATGGATGCCTCCCAGTGAAAGGATAGAGAATCTGATAGTTTTCATGCCAGGAGGCTGGATGTCTCAACAGTCCTAGCCTGGTACTGGAGTCCTGGAGGATTCCTAGAGAGGTACTTGTTGAACCCTAAAGTTTAGGGTCTCAAGTGGGCACCCCAAGAACCCAGACTCCAATCCAGTTGATGCAATAGCAGGAGGATTTATTAAGCTTCTATATAGAAGGGCAAACCCTGCTCCTAAGAGCAAGAGCCACATCGTACTGCAGCCCCATAAGGGCTTATAAAGGCAAAAACCCACAAGATTATAATTCCCATACAATTTTGTTTCACAAGATCATGGTCTGAGTACAGAGTGATCACAGAAGGGGTACAGTTACATCAACAGGTACATTCTTCCTGAAACCTCAAGTAGGGTATCAGGGCAGGAGTGGAGATTACATACAGGTCACAGTGGTCCTTCCTGGAACACCTGCAACTATCCCAGCCACAGTTGAGCACATCTCTTAACAGAAATCTCTTTACATTGTTATATGGTTGCAGGGGAGATTGAACAATGGCTAAGTCAGGCTGCCCTTGGAACTAGATTTTTAGTTTCTCATTTCCTGGTGCTTGAAGTTTCTCTTTTCCTGAGGCTTGGGGGTATAAGCCTGAAGGGCTAGGGTCTTTCAATCCCCCATTTTCTTTTTGGCAAATTTTAATCTTAAAATTATGGTAATACATTTAGTAACTCATGGCCTGTAGTGGCCATGCATAGTCCATGTATAACTAGCCATCTTGTCTCTATGCCAGGGAGTTTTCTTTTGACCCAGCATTTCAGCCTTTTCTGAACAAAGAATATGGGACAACATATTCTCTTCTGGAACTGCTTCAAGCTGGCATTGGGGTGTCATTATCAGGGCCCTTCCTCCAAAAGGCTGAAAAGCTGGTCAAAGACTGGACAAGGGGGCATTTGTCAGTAGCATGTAGCTGCCTGACCCCATAGGGACAGAGAAGAATCTTGTTAGCTGGCCTGGTCCATGTTGGCCTTTAGCACATCCGGAGCCCACAGTCGTCTGGAGCAGTGGAGTCAGCAACTGAAATTTGGAGGTGTCTGCCAGCCAAGTAGAAATCTGTTGAGACAGATTTAAACTAGGAACAGAGGTTAAAATTTATGAACTTATTTGGAACCCTTAGGTCCATACCCTTAGTAATGGGAAAAGCAGTAGTCCCAATACCAGGAGAAAGGAAAAATACCATCTTTAGGAATACTTATCTGGGGTCCTTTCGACCTCTGTGAAGTGGGTCTGGGTTTTTATGACTCTTTTGATCCTTTGAGGCCTACTTACAAAATGACATAAAAGTTTTAGATATATTAGTATTATCAATCTGTACTGAAATCTATACTGTAGACAAAGCAGGTAATGGGTATCTGTAAAACAGCAGAAGTGGACTCATACCTTTGAGTCCCAACAAGAACTACAGATTTGGGCATTTTTTTTTCTGTCCAGAAAGCCAGGTATAAGTTGGACAGAGATTTTTGGCCTGGTGAGAAGCACTTTTAGGTTTACATTTAGAAATATTTAGATGACATTTAAAACAAATCCAAAATGTTGAGTTTGTGACTGAACAGTAAGTGGTCATTGCTCTATCAGCTCATCAGGACTCCTAAATGTTAAGCTCTGAACCATAGAACAAGAGAGTAATCTGAAACATATCTTATTTTAGACTCATATCTGAACCTTTATGACTTATTTAAACTTTTATATATTAGAGCTTTTTCTTTTAAAGTGAGCTAACAAGCTAGCTATGGCCATGCAGAAGGATCTGGTTGTCTGATGCTGCCATGCTGACAAAGTTAGAGCTAGCCTAGCCATCAAAACTGTCAGAGATCTGAGAAGGATAAACTATATCTGAGTGTAGACCAAAAAGCATCCAATCCTATAAATTACAGGGATCAATCCCTACCCAGGTCTCCATAGCATTGGAGGCAACAGTCAGAACAGCATCAATCTTCTGCCACCAGGCCCATAAGGCAGAGTATTTTTCCTGTGGAACAGGGACATGGAAGACTGACCTTGACCAGGAATCAATCTCAGTGTCCTACTGCTTGTCCACAGTCTGGGCTGGGTCCTGGCGGCAGGCGTTGCATTGGGGCATCTTGCCATGTGGTCAGCGTTGTCATAATCCAGGCAGAGACGTTGTGGTGTCTCACACGTAATCTTCTTTGGAGACCTTGGGTCACTGTTAGGATCTGGAAGCCTGTCTGATATAATAAACTTTGAGATCAACATTTAAATGCCGTATTCTGCAGATCTCTGAAGTATGAGGGCTGTCTAGATGTCTGAATAGACAAACTTTGTTTCTAACTATTTGTTTCAAGCTCAACCCTGAAAACATATGCAAGGGACTGAGTAAATGACTAAACTTATTCTTGTAATATTACATCAGTACTTATTTATCCTGACTATAATTATAGAAACTTGATTACTCATGACTGACTATTAAAAACAATGCTTTTAAGTTGAAGCTCTTCTTGAATCAACTATAGGTTCAGTAAAGAAGCCAAAACAAAATATCAATATAAGACATATACATGTATCAGCTTATCCAAATAACTTAAGCTTAGCAAGCATAGCAAATACAAGGAGGCTAGACAACATTTTTAAGCCTGAATGTACCTTGGGTAAGGAGAAACATTTTTAAGTTATTGGTTTTTAACTATAAAAACGGTTCTTAAAGGATTAAGATCTCTCAAATGTCTTCTGTAATAGCAATAAAGTACCTTTTTTTTTTTTTTTTTTTTTTTACTTTAAGGGGGAGCATAATCTCTATAAAGTAAAACCAAACTCCAGTTCAATATTTGGGACTTATTTATAATCTTTTTGTTTTTTTTCTTAGATACTTGAATGATTTCTTTGACCCTACCTTTGGCAGCACATACATAGCCTGTCTGTTTTATTTTATTATGGCTGGTGTTTCCGATGATCATCACCTGACACTGGCAATTTTTAAAACTGCCAAGGTCCATCAGACTCTTTTTGAAACTTTAGTCCTGCCGTATATTTGCAAATCTCAACTGTTTTCTATGATCTTTTTATGTGTTTAAGATCATTATCATTTTACATGGGTAAATCTTAAATTACAAACTTTAGCTGTCAGAGCAAGGTATATTCCTGTGTTAGAAGCATTGATGCGTAGCTTTAATAATTATCAAATATCTCGTTTATCAAACATATGTTGTTATCTATTTAAATTTTCTAGAAACTTGTTGAACTGTGGTGGTATTCTAATTGTACTGAAATGTGATTTTGATTGTATGTTAATAAATAAAGTTGCCCGGGGGTCAGAGCTATTAGAGCCATAGACAGAGTGTGGCAGTGGTGGCACACGCCTTTAATCCCATAGATCTCTGTGTGTTCAGGGATACAGCCAGCATTGGA